GCCATTTTCTAGACTTGGCCTTGGTTCTGTATGGGGAACGTGGCTGTGGGTGCTGTCGTTCTGGTGGAGTTCAATGTGAAGGTGCTGTCCTTGCCTACTTCCTGCACACTGGGCAAATCCATCACTTACTGTCGGATGTCCTACACATGAGTGTGGTAACTGTTCCTGCCAAAGCTTAGACTCAAAACCAAATACGTAAGTTTATGTAATAACATACAGACTAAGAATCATTCTTCTCTGAAGGTAACTTCCAACTGGGAAGTTTGCATAGCAGGAGTTAAAATAAATTAAGAACCTCTCCAGAGTTGTCCCAGTAAAAATGTTATAATGCAGCTTTGTTTGTTTTCAACTGAGTATTCAAGTTCAGGATGAATTCTCACACCAGCACTTGAGAGCTCTGTCAGGGATGGACAGGATTTGATTAGGACTTTCAGTTTTCAGTGGGAGCTAAATAAGCAAAATCTTCAAGTGTGTGTGAATGTTGCCCAGTGTGTTAGATTGCTGTAGCATGTCTTCTTGGGGAAGGAGGTATTTTGGAAAGCCCATAGGGAGCCTCTCCAGGACTTAAATGCTAATATACATGTAAGTCAAAGAGCTTATGGGTAAGACACCTTGTGAAGACCTGGGGGATTTTATCAGGTTCCCTCAAGTGAGTTTTTGTCTGTTTTTCAAACCAGCCCTACAGCCAACAGAAGTAAAATTAGAGAAGCTCATAGACGAATCATGCTTCTGAATCATCCAGATAAAGGCAAGTAAAAGTAATTCATTTTGAGCAACTAATACATGTTTTTAACCCACGAAGAGAACAGCTGTATAGAAGTGATGTGAATACTCTGTCTACTAAATAAATAAATAAATAAATAAATAAATAACCCAAAAACCTGTAAAAAATACTCAAAAATTCAGCAGGGCAACTTATTTGCTTTATCTCTCCTTAGGGTAAAATGGCTTCCTTAAAGTACTTCATTACTTCTGTGCACTAAAATGCCAAATAATCATTAGCATAGTTAATATCTAAGCAGAACTTACTTCAAAATTGACTACTGAATACATGCAAAACCTAAAAATAGCTGCTCAAAGACTCACGAGCATCTTACATGTTTTCATGACCTAAATAAGTTAAATTAAGCATCAAGTAAAGGCACTGGAGTTAAGTTCAATACCCGTAAAAGGCACACGTGCTACAGATCTTTGTAGCTCAGGATCAGTTACAATTACAGTGCATTTACACAATGAAATCTGTTTTAAAATTTTCATTAAGTTATTTGCATATCATGTTTAAATGCTGAACTAGTCTGTCAGTGCAGCAGCAGTTTGTAGCCTAACTTTGGAATAGGGAGGAGAGATTCATCTGCAGAGGGGTACACTCGTGTATTCCCAAGAAGCTGCTTTTTATTAAGTCCTTACTGACCAGTTCATTTATTTAAATGATAAAAACTGAACTTTGTTATACTAAAAGCAGTGTAATGATGAGCTGCCTGTGCATCTGGCTACTGCAGTCACTATGTGTGTAAACTCAAATGGCTTCAGTCATAATGCAGTTTGTTTAACTTCAATATCTTTCGCACTTCTTTTTTGTGTAGCGCAGGACCAGTAATGACCTGCAAAGAAAATGCTTTCTTCATCTGATGTGACATGAGCTTATCTTTCTTCTAGGTGGTTCTCCATATGTAGCAGCCAAAATCAACGAAGCTAAAGATTTACTGGAAGACCAAGCTAAAAAATGAATTGGAGATAAAATCAGAGGGTTTGCTTGTATAAATGATTGTTTGTTATAAACAGCTTAAGGCAAGTATGAATCTCTATCAGTGACTTGATACAAATGAGGCTTGAAAAATTAATCAGGGGAGCTACATTCCTCTGTGCTCACTTTTGGGGAAATGTGAGGGAGTGAAGCTTAAGGTTTTTTCAGAGCTGTTCTTCAGTAAACGAGTAAAGCTGCCACTCAGAAGTATTTTCTGCATAGAAGAGCAGTAGTTTGGCTTGGCCAATTCTTCCTGCATGTTACCAGATGCTGACATGCTGTTACCTAATTTTTGTTAAACTAGTTACGTTGAAATTCGTGCTGCTATTCTGTCATATGCCAAAGTTAGCATGATGAAAGAGTGTGGGGAAGGGTAGAAAAGAACAGTAATTACTTAACAAAAAGCAGTAGGAGAGAGATGTGGTTGTTTCTGGATGAAGAAATAAAGTGTAAGAAACTGAACATACTCAGTTGATGGTTCAGCTTCTTAACTGTTATTGAGGGATCTAAATGCCTCAAATTTTCTAGTAGCTTTCAATTCTTAATGGATTTTACAGCAGTAAATTACAAACCTTTAGTCAGTACTGTAGTTTTATGCATTATCTCATGCTACAAAGCTAACTCCCTGGAGCGATGAGAGGTGTGGCAGAGATCTAAATACACTGGAGCACTGGACAACCATCTGCTTGAAGTTCAAGGGAAAATGCCACGTGCCACATGTGGGACAGAGCAATGCTGGACTCAGGTACATGGTGGGGGACAGGTGGCTGAAGGGCAGCTCAGCATGAGGGGACCCAGTTGTGCCGAGGGCTGGTGTGCTCAGCAGTAGTGGGTCCTGGCAGCCAAATTAACCAAGCACAGCCTGCCAGTCTCTTCCACTTTAGTGCTGATGTGGCCTTACCTGGAACATAGTTTACAGCTCTGGGCTCCACAACATTAAGAAAAATGCTAGGGTCCTTGGAAGTGTCCAGAGGGCAGCAAAGCTGGTAGAACTGGAGGGATGTCTAGGGAGAAGGGGCTGAGACCACCTGGATTTATCTGGTCTGGAGAAAAGAAGGCCAAGACATGACCTTGCTACCCTATGCAGCTCCCTGAGATAAAACAGAACAAAGGGCTGTTTTTCTACCCTGAAACCAATACCATGATGTACAGGAACAGCACAAAGCTGTACCAGGCCCAGGGGGAGCCTAAGGTGAGACATTAAGACAAATTTCTTTTACCGTGAGGTTGGTCAGACACTGGGACAGGCTTCCCAGCGAGGTGGTTGATGAACACTGGCAGGGTGAGGCAAGAGGCACCTGACAGCATCCTGAAAACATGCTTTAACTTTTGGTTGGCCTCAGAGTGGTCAGGCAGATGACGAGCTTCGTAGGTGCCTTCTTGACTGGAGTACTTTACTTGCATAAACCATTTAAGATACCTGAGCAAAACACCAGCAGCTGTCCTCCGTGTCTCAGCTGGGACCACAGTCTTTCTTCTCATGCTCCAAGAATCTTTCCAGCCTTTCTGCAACTATGGTAAAACTGTACAACATACATCGTGGTTAACACTGTCTGCTCGTAGATACAGTGGATTTTAGAGCTTTAATTTTTTCACCATTCACTCTGCCACCATTTTAGTAAGCACTATGAGTAGTGTCACATACTCTGTGAAGTTCAGTAGCTGTACTGCTGAAGCCTAATTCTACGGCCATTCAGAAATATCAGAACAATACAGGAAGCTTATGTGCTTTAGAATAGAGTACCAAAATCAATAACACAGGCATTAAATAGAAAGTGTTTAGAACCTACAGAAGGCAGGGATACTCTGCTTTTCTACAAAACTTAAAGCAGGTTTTTTTTAAAAAAAAAAAACACAACACAACACACGCCTACAAGAAGGGCATGCAGCAGCTTCACAAAATGCATCTTTCAAGGCCTACACCAAATAAAAGCTACTGAAGTTCTTTACTGTCATGTAACCTTGACTGTTGTTAAACATCTTCCTCCACACACACCCCCTCCCATCCCCTTGTAGCTACCATCATCCTTTCTGCCACTTTTACGTTTGCTTCAGTTATAACAATTTAACAGTTTGTTCTCCAGGAGACTTTAGCCTTAACACAGTTGTATTACATTGCACATGCCCTTCAATGAAATGAATACCTGAAAAAAAACTTAGCTGGTACAACTCTTCCCTAGCTGTGTGAAGTACAGCACCTGGATGCACACACCTGAAGGCACACTCTGTGCAGTACTTTTGTCTTTTCTCACTTTTTTTGCCAAATCAGGTAAGATCATTTTTCTTCTAACGCAGTAAAGCTTTCAGCACTGTGATAACTGCTCTGGTTTTTTTCAACTCCTTACTTCCCAGCTCTCTTCACATCTTTCTGCTTCACGTGCAAGAAAAAGACTTGTTAGTATATTATTAGTCTAGCTTCACAGGAGCTACACCTACTTCAGTTCCTATATATGTTAGTCAGGTTATGCAATTCTTTAATATCGGTCTGTTTTTAGATACATTAACTGATGTTTTACATTATCACCTTAATGCAAGGTTAGGTTAAAGTTAGGAAACTTACAGAAGAGTTAAGAGGTTCAAGCTGCCTGGCAGGTAAGTTGCAGTGGTTAACAGCTTGAAAACCTTAAGTCGATAGCAATTTGAATTTCTGATGGAAACAGTCAACAGATGGAAGATCAAAGTTTATTTTCTTTTACTACCAGCATACAAAAAAAACATATTGCACATCAAACAACCAAAACAAAAATAAAAATACTCTACTAAGGACTAACATATGTAGTTTATACAGAATAAACTTTCTGGAAATTGATCTTTTCAGTAGTTCAGGTTATGTCTTAATGGACATGACTAATTCAGCTTAGTGTTAACTAAAGCTATGTTTGATTTTTAAATACTGTACAGTTTAATAAATAAACCAAACAAAGCCTCAATGTAGAACAGTCACTGCCAATGTCACCCAGTATCCCTGCAGATTATGAGAATTTTAACAAATGTATTCCAGTGGTCTGCAGATTTTTCCTCTACATACAGCATTTAAAAAACATGTATTAAAACAGACCAGTTTCCAGACTAAACTAATGGAGAAATTACATTTCAGTGCAAAATATTTTAGACTGCATTTCTTTCTAGTATTCCTCAGGTGAAGAAGTGGTTGCATATTATTAAAAATGTAACAAAAGCAGCTAATGCTTTCATAAAGAGTATTATGTTAGGGATCCCCCTCACATCTTTGCCGTATTTTGAAAACAAAATAACATTTCCTATAGCCAGCAATTTTGTTTATTTAAATGTTACATATACTATCTCAAGGCACATCTGATGATATATTTATAACACAGTAGGTGTCAAAGTATGTTTAACATATGATTTCTTCAGGATCCCTCCCCTTTCTGTATTCCAAAATGGAGGAACTGAAAGTGCGGTGTCAAGACTGGCGATCCATATTCTATCTTTGGCAAGCTTATACAAGCACTATTTTAAATGTAATGTAGAAGAACTGTAAACTAGGAACTTCAGTTTATGAAACACCATTCAGCACTGCTTCTTCCTGATTATTTCCCTCCTCCTGAACAGTAACTTTCTTTTCGTCAGGGCTGTGCTGTAATTTAGAAGGCTCATCCACAGCAGGCGTAGCAGGACCATTCACTGCCTTTTCAGAAGGGCTATTTTCATCAATCGTGTCTTTTGTCTTAAAAACAAACAAAAAAATACAACATTAGAAGAATCAGTAAAACCGTTCACAGCATCCTAGTTTTTACCTCCTCACTTCTAGAATGCTTCTGTACTGGAAGCGTGTGAGAGAACCATGCCAGTTTTTCCAAGACAAAATGTAGTTAACAGATGAGTTTATACCCTTTTCAAAGTCCATAATGAGACAGGACTGTCTATCACAAATTAATGGACCTCACTTCATTCAATTCAACAATAACTAGTAGCAGTGAATTCAATGTCATCTTAGGAATAAAATATTTTGGTTTTGAATATTATTTTAATGACATATTTATGCCACTTTGTTCCATTCAGAACAATTCAAATCCACAATTCCTGTACCGCCAGCTCTTTCTGCAATAGTTCACAGGTCACTAAACATCCTACCACCCCTCCTCTATTATACAATGCTGTAAGGATCAGTTCTCAAGACTCATCCATCGAGATGAGTGCTAATTTTCACGTTTTATCATGTAATGCTGCAGTAATAAATACAACACACACAGTCCTTTAAGCATTACAGTGATTATTGAACTCTGCGCTGATAATTCTACCAGTTAGCGCTCAGTTTTGTTTACTTGAACCAGTGTTACTTCTAATGATTTGTTCTTGAACTCAAAGCACTCAAATAAAATTTATCTAAATCAGGCATTCCTTTACTGTTTTCCTGCAAGGGAAGGGAAAAGGAAATGTATGTTCAAAATCCTCTTACCGCTTCTTTCTTGCTTTTGGCTAATGTCTCCTTCGGAGGGTTTCTCTGTCTACTCTGAGATTCGGCTCGTGATATATAATCAGCTACTGTTACTGTTCAAGGAAAAAAAAATTAGTGATGCTCATATTAGATATTTAACTTAGCATTAAAACTTCATACCCTTATTCTGCACAGTCACACTACCACTGGGAGCTACCTCACAAAAGGCCTTCACTCTTACAGGTTTTATCAACTGCGTAGCAAGGATCAGTTATTTTATGTTAATAAGTAAAGTTTTCACCAAAATCTGTGGTAGCCAGTGATGATCTGAAGGCAGGATCTTGAAATCCATCAACAAAATAATGTTTCTGTCCTGAGTGTAAATTTTATCTGAAAAGAAGGGATTTCTACACCTGGCTTCAGAACATCAAGACTGCAGGCTCTTTATATCCATACACTTTTTTTATTGGGATTTTAACTATCTTAAGTAGTGATGAATTGCACACTAATAAAATGAATGCAGGTTAAAATACAAAATGAATTGGGGGAGGAGGTTCAGAGTATGTTATCACTTACGACAGAGCAGCATTAAAATTGTTGTTACTTCCATGAAGCAACTGACAAGAGAACTCACCCTCCTGGTACTCAAAGGGCAATCCACCTCCGGCTTGTGGGCAGGTGGGCAACTGCTGTGCGTACAGGCACTCGAGGTGGCTCTGTATGAGTGAGCCTGTACTCAAAAGCAGGACAGCCATGCTTGCACTGCTATGGCTACACTTACTGGATGCTGGCCAGGGGTTCTCTGACCTCCTTTCTTCTTACCACCTCAGCACATGTTCTTGTAGCTTGGTTTTGTCTTATCCTGCCCTCTCGTAACCACAACAATTGAGAGTCAATTCTATTTTCGGAATATACAGTACTACAAATTTAAGTATACATTCATATCTTTGATCAGCTAAAGCATATTAGAGTCGGCAAGCATTATCTACTAACATTACAGTCAACTGTATTTAGTATGCCATGCATTCAGGTGAACTATTTTCCTGGGTTTATCAATAACTGTAAGAATCCTGTATCAGCAGAGCAAGCATAACAAGTTCTCTGGTACATTAACTAGGCTCTTAACTGGGTCCCTGTGTTATTGCTGAGACCAAGGGAGTTTCTGCACAAGAAGGCTTCTCTAAGAGATGTTCTGTAACCGACTAATATGAAGAATATAAATTCTTAATCTCATATCTAAGTAGGAACCCAGGAACTACAGCAAAAAAACAAACAAACAAAAAAAAACCAAACCAAACCAACAAAACTACTAAATGACTGAAACATGCTCCTCATATTTAGGAGGAAAGAGTTCCTTCTCTCCATTTCATTCTCTATAGATGTAGTAAATGTATGTGAAGATTAAATTTGAGCATTTGTCACAAAGCATGTAACTACCAATGCTCTTATTGTCAGTTTCAAAAATATTTATTATTGAAATTGGAAGTGGTATTTTGAACAAAGAAATCAACAGGAAAAAAACAAGAACTTTATGGGGATTTGGTTCTGTTCCTAGAATGCTTGCATCGAAAGAGAAATAATTCAGATTTTGTAGAGATGCCAGTCATCCCTTCCACCCCTTTATAAACTTTGTTCCCGAACTACAGAATGCTGAGAAGTGTAACAGGGTACTTTTTATTCTCCTTAAGTTTCAATTATTGTAAAGCAACAGCCTTTTTTTTCCTTCTAAACCCAATATCGTATGAGCACCACAGATAGACAGAAAACAGATGTGGGTGATGTTGTAATGTTTGAGCCTGTCAATCTAGAAGACCTTCTGCTACTACCTTAAGGCACGCACGTACAAGTGTTTTCTGAGCAGGGCATTCTACTGAAATGAGCTAGTTCACCTTTCACATCTCAAGGGTTAGTACACACAAAAGTGCAACAAGCCACAACAACAAAAACTGAAAACATGCAATTTCATTTAAATTCCTCCTCCGTCCCACCCTCAATTTGTGGATGATTTACAACGCTCACAAAAGCTGAAGACTGACAGCAGAAGTTTGGATCAAGCTCTGGACTGGCAGTTACCATGCAGGTTCCCTCGCAGAGCTCTGCCAGGGCACCCACAGCCTGCCATTCCACCTCTGCTCCTCAGCCAGTGCTGAAAAGGTTGTGTCACATTCAATGCAAGTGTGCAGACGCAAGTGAGTGCAGATCATGAACTTTCATTTATGTCTTGATCCTGGACTACTGAAGTCAACAGAAGACTGGCTATTGACTTCAATGAGAACTGGATCAGAAGCTTTAATTGTATTTCCAAGCAAAAAGTTAGACATTATAAATTAGTTCCATTAGACAGATTAAGAACTTTTAAAAGTTCTCCTAGTATAAGAAACATCTTTCATCTTTATCTAGTAGTCTTATTAGTTATTAACCTTTGTATATTAAGCAGCTATATGTAAAACAGCAGACACAACATTCTCTCATGCTTTTGACCTGAGAATACCCACAGCTTCACTCGAATTACCTGGCTGTCTATCTTCTGCCTGACCCCTGAAGCGACGCCTGCGGCTACGATTGCGTCGCTGGGGTTTTTTGTCACTATCATCTGCAATTGCAAAGTTTACCATGAACTATTTCTGATGAAAAAATATTCTTCAGCAGTTTCAGCATGGAGCATTTTAAATTGCTTCTGTTAAAAAAGACAGGCTAAGAAACAGGCTAAGTAAGACAGGCTGAAAGAACAACATATTTATATTGAAAGCATACACAATGAAGTAAAAGCTAGATTTTACTGTTTTGCTTCTGGCTCATGAAAACATTTAGGCATATGCTTAATGACCTCAGGTTTCATTTATTAAATAACCATATGTCAGATTTTAGCCACAACCACAAAATAAGTTTTTTTTTTCTACACTATTAAACAACAAATTATATTCTCATCCCAATAAGTATCAAGGAGAATTTACTTAAGCAGAAACTGGGTAGAGATGAATTAACAGCCGCTTAAGCAGCTTTCCTACCCTGACACTGAGGTAACGGAGGACAGACAGAACGCTGATCTATAACAGCACCGTGTTTCTATGAAAACAGCAGTACAAACAGGAAACAAAGTTAGTCTTTGGTATCTCCATCAGATAGGTTTTACAAAAGAGGCATATGAAAGAGCATATGAACGTACTAATGGAGCTCAGTAAACAAGAGATTGCATGGCAGAGCCATGGAGGTAGAAGTCTTCCTTTAATCAGACAGCAACCTTTAACAGAACAATGACTCATCACTAATAGAAATGAACACTACACTTACATGGGTAACACTGTTTTCTTACAAACTTGTTCTGGCTCTATCAACTAGCCATTTACATACCTAAACCATTCTCATTAACAGAAGCTGTATCAGACTCTGTCATTCCATCCATTAGAACAGCATCTTCATCAGTCCTTCGCCTGCGTGACCTCCTGCGACGGTTGCTACTGTGGTGAGATTCACTGGCATCAGTATCCACAGTCTGGTCCGACTCTGTATTATCAAGTAAGCTGTAAGGGTTGCTGTCCGGATCTTTAAGCACTGAACAAACAAGAAGTTTTTATTTAAGATACTGAGTTAGACACATTTCATCTTCCCGACTGGTTTTTAATCTGTGGTTCCAAACATTAAGCAATCTTTACGACAAGGTATAAATGCTACAGTCCTGTGCATACTGGCTCCTCTCTGATGCTCTCATCCAACAAAATATCCTCTGGGACATCACAGTGTGGTACTTACATTCAAGGGAACATTTTAAAACCATTTTACTTAAAGGTGTTCACGTGTAAAATGTACCTTTCACTTAATTAGCTTGATGGTAATGCTGATGATACTGAAGTATTGCAAATTACTGTTTTATCAGAATTTGACTGTGCTAACTTTTATTCTTTCATTTCTTTTCTTCTGTATCTAAAAGAAAAGCTTAACTCAAAAGGCAACCACTGGTGGCATGGCAAAGATCTGTAACATTTAGTGATGTCATTAACAGCTGCCTATAGCAGAGGAAGGAAACGAGTATCAGTACGAGCAGAAATCTAATGACAGTGCATGATAAAAATATCACAGAGCTTCACTGAAATACCAGTGTACTAAGATTACAGAGTAAAAAGGGAATGTTCAGAAGCACTGAAAGGCTAGAGAGAAAATGGCAAGGAACAAAAAACAACACACATCTGAGATGCAGTACCAGAGCTAATGGATGACTTGCCACCACGAGGTCCGCCACGTCCACGGCCTCCAGACACACTGCGTCCTCGTCCTCCAGGACGTCGTCTATTGTCACGCTGATGTCTGCTTTCTCTGTCATCTTCTCCTGCCAGGGACCAGTCACTAAGTTCATCTTTTCTCTCAGATTCTGTTTCAGAGGGATTAGAGAGCTCAGAGTTTGTACCTTGTACAAGAAGGAAAAGAAAATGGGAAGTGAATATGAAACTTGAGATCGTATTCTGGTTTCAGATTCTCAACCAGCAGGCCTAGTTGTGAATATTTTATAGATACATATAAAAATACACAAATTCAAAATAAACTCTATATAAAAAGATGCAAGTTTATAAATAAATAAAAACACTTAAATGTGCACATATACACATACATACAGCTAAACTACCTAAGTATTATGCTTCTTAAGTTTGCTTGCAGTAAGATGAGAAATAAGGGCTCAAAAATTACTCAAATGGCAATTTATGTACATGGATAAATCAAGGACTGAATGCTATTTGCTGTGCATACACTGCAGGCATTTGATGCAGTTTCTAGGCAACTTCTCTGAAATTCCCAAGGACAACTTCACCACCTTACAGCTAATGGCTGTTGCTAAGCAACCCCTTCTGGCTGCAGTAATGCTGCTTCAATTTAGCTGTTTATATTAAATACTGCTTATAACTTCCCTTTGTTTCTGAGCTAACCAAACCTGCACAGTTTTTTACTGCTAAGAAATTAAACACCTACCATTTATTTTAAGCATCCAGGAACTCTCCCTACTAACAATTTTGGAATAAAGATATCCATACCCCTATGGCTGTATCATACAATTCTTGCTGTTTTACAGCAAAAAAACAAACAAACAAACAAAACAACACCAACCACCAACAACAAAACACACATTGCCAAACGGAAGTCTGAACACTGTGTGCATATAAACAACCTGAACCTCAACTACATTTATTCAAACAATCCACCAGGGAAGAGTAAATAACTAAGCATTACCATCAGAACTAACCTGTCTAACATGCCACGACCGGCCGGGATGATCTGTGTCTGACCGTGCAATGCAAAGAACTGGTTTGATTTTGTAACAGGACTGAGCTGCACACAGATCAAGAGCAATTTATAATGTATTCACTGAGTAATTTTTTCCCCTTCTGTTCACTGCACACCGTATTTTTGTGAAATATGCCCATGTTCAGGTTCTTCAAATGACCACGATCACAGATAAGTTGTGGGTTTTTTTTTTGTTTTGGGTCACAGCTACTACCTTTGGAGGGCAAGATCTTACCCAACTTCACTCTACTCATCTCTTCCAGTTTAACACTTAAATTCAGCAAAATTGCAACTTCAAGCAGGTTTTCTGAGCTATGCAAAAAATAAAACAGCAACTCTGAATTTTCAACTCTACTTTTACTCAACTATTCAACAAACAAAGAAACATAAAAGAAGTGATGAATTCAAAAGCACACTGAGGATTCACTCAATAGCTGCTCTGAAGATAATACCAAACTAGCTTACCGTAACCAGATGTGTAACTGGGGCCTCTGCGGCCTCTCCCTCTTCCGCTGTACGATCTGGAACCTTGCACTGAGGAGAGGGTGCTCTCATCAGTTGTGTAACCCTTTTCTTTTTCGGGAACTCTAGCAGAGGAAGGTCTGAAACCCATACCAATCTGACGCAGTTGTTCATCGATTTGGAGCCTTTCCAGTCTTAGTTGTTCTACCTCCTACACAAATGGAAACAAAACATTTCAGAGGAAGAAATGTTACTTCTCCCCATAAAATACCACTGTCCCTTCATCTGCATTCTAAATCACTACATTTAAAGACTGTTTATAAGACAAGTATTACCCTTCTTAACTATGCTTCACCTCACTTTTTTGAGTCAACTTTCAAAAGCAAACCAATATAACCCGATTCAAACTAAGGAATTATTTTGGTAACAATCACACCACGACTCCACACAAACAAAACTATTTAAAGTGGTTGAGTGTTTCCGTGCTATTCAGCTACAAACTCCATCCTAGACCAACACAGCAATAATGTCAGAACAACAGAACACTGATATGGAGGAAGCCATCACATACTACTTCTCCTGTGCCACTTAAGGCAGTGCTCTCTGCAGTCCGGTTCTTTCAGCACTGGCAGTAAGCAGCAGCCACAATCATGCTTTAAAAGGCCTAAGTAACACACGTAAGGGGAGGCTTCAGGGCACCAAACCTCAAATCCCAGTCAACAGAAAAACAGTCGACCAGATGCAAACCCTTCTAAAGCTCTTACTCAGATATTTTGTTACTTCAATAGAAGCTTCCTCTACAACCTTTTTTCCCTCCCTTCTGAAGTACACTTACCTTCAGATACGCAATGTGGTATTCTAGAAGAACCTGGACATTTCCAATGCTTTCTTTAGTACCCACAAATACAAATGGTACCATTCCCTACAGAAACAAAGCACAAAATCTTGCTTTCAAAAAGAATATTATCATCAAAATACTTTCTGCTTAATTTATAAAAGCAATCTGAACGGTAACCGAATCTCACGCAGCAAAGACACACGAGAAGCAGCTCACAGATTGGGATAAGGGCTTATCCAGTAAGACTTCAGACTGCCCATAGTGTTCCCAACATCCCATTCTACCAGCTGAAGTAATTCGACATACAGTTTCTACGTACCACTGGTTGCCTCTGCAACACAACTGCTACACGTTTCTATCACAGCAGCTGTGTGTTGAGGCATCCACAGATTCCTGACAAATGCCCAGTGGTTAATTACACCAACTTGACAAGATGAAGCACCTTTAGACTCTTTTATGCTATGTTCTCATATATTTAAAATATATCAACCCCAAATTAGTGTTTCCAGTGTTGACAGCTACACAACTACGCTGTACATAGGAGATGAGTTTTGCTCCTGAAGCAAGTATTTTTCTCGAGCTGTTTCATACAAGATTTACTGCACAATGCCATTTTGAAAAAGACCTAAAAATCAATTTCTACAGCCATAAAAAGCTGTAAGATGGGCTTTGTTAAACAATCCATACGCACAGCCCTAGCACAGAGGCCATGGTTTCTTAAAATGAACATCATCACTACAGGTCGGCCATGAAAAACAAGGATGCATAGGCCATGAAGTCTATAGATATAAACTGAATAATGACAGTGAGATGGAACAATAATCCCACTCTCATGCAGAAAGGCAGCACCTCGCTCCAGAAATTTTCACTCTCTGCACATCTTTTGGTGTTTTCTTTGTTGCAGGATTCAAAATAAAAACACAATTGTAAGAAGAAATAAAGTACTCACATCTTCACGAGGCAGTTTATTTTCATTATCTCCTTCAATCCTCACCCTGACGACTCCAGACTTGTCTACAATCTCCTGAATCACTTTTCCATTTTTTCCAATAACTTTTCCTTCAGAGCAAGAAGAGTTATTTTAGACCAAAGTCCAAAACATTTTGAACAGGCTTTTACGTACGAAGAAGTGCATCACTCCCCTCCCCTCCCCTCTGCCTTCTACTTCTTCCCCCCCAGGATTTTTTCCATGTCATACACATAAATGAAAACCATGCCCAAACAGGACAAAACTTCAGAAATTATATTCAAACAGCATGCACACACACAACAGCAAGCACTGACCAAAATCAGCACCACATACAAGTTTCAAACAGAACCAGAGTAGCAATGAAACAGCAGAACTCTTGAAAATACGTATTACAATTTATTTATCCAAATTATTTTATCATACTCTCCCTTCTAGTGAGCGATGACACCAGAATTGTCCTGAGTCATTTCTGCAACTCAGATACGGCATTTCCAGACTACATTTTGGAATTTACTACCAGAATATCTATGCAGTTAATTTATCAAATAATTTGTTTGCATTGCTAGAACCTGAGCTTCAAACATTGCCATTAAAGCAGATTGTACAAGCCTGAAAGAGCTATGCTTAAAACATTTCAAGAGTTAAAATAACATGCAGATTCTGGATAATTCCCTGATGCACAAAATTTTCAAAGATGAATCACTTTCTATATAAATGGAAAGCCCAACAGTGCACTTGCACCTAGAGCTTTATGCACAGCCACGCTGAGTGCACTTCCTTTCTACAGGTTGTGAAGCACTACGTACCAACAAGATTCCTGGGAACCTGAATAAAGTCCTCCACAAATTCCAAGAAACTTCTGGCTTTTTTTACTGCATCGGCAGTCTGAAAATAAAAAAAAAGTAAAAAATAAATAGTAACAATAACAATAATAATAATGCAGTACGTTAAAAACAAAACCCTGTAGCAACGTCCATATGTCTCCAGAAGAGTAAACATTTTAAAAAACAAAATGAACGTGGTTCTGGCCTCAGTCACAAAGCTTTTTAAGACATTACTCCATCACTGAATCGTGGAAGGAATTTCTACCATTACTCCTTTAAAGTTTCAGTATGAAATAATGGAAATTAAGTGACAATAAATTTCTATAGGTCCTACCATTACTGCAAGAAGAAATAAACAACACAAAGTTACCAACAGTGAAAGCACAGCCAGCATCTAGTCAGCAATGACAACATTTGAGACACTGATGTTTCGACCTTTCACCTGCTATTCCTTCTGCAACCCAGCAGGCAGATGCCACCAGCCCCCGAACCTTTACAATAAATTTAACCAAGTCCTAGAGGGACGTAACATCCACAAACCTACAATTCTGGCACAGTTAAAAATGCTAAAGGAAAGAACCATGGGCAATATGGATTTCAAGATGAAAGCAATGAAGCATGCAAGAAGAGATAAACAGGAAGTAGCTGCAGGAAGCAGGGCTATTTGCATGCTCACAGTAACAGATACAACGACCAACATCAACATGCAGTTGCAATTTCACATTCAGTGAGCTCTACAAGGAACACAAGACTGACAGCTCTGCGCCCTGCCTCAGAGGCACGATTATCACTTCTTTCCCAAATAGAGAAGAAGGGTCAGTGACTGCTGTCACACCAACAGCCACAATGAGGAAAAAAGCTGCAAGGACACCCAGAGCGTATCTATGCTTCAATGCAAGCACTTGGAACTTTTAATGCAAGTCCAACCTGTGTGACTCATTCACACCCCAACATGAGACAGCACAGAACACCGACTCGGACACGTCCTTGCAGCCAGTAATTCAGAACAGGAAAACAGCCACCATATACACACCTCCCAGAATTCCAGTTAGCACAAACTATCTTTTCACTTCCAGGTAGGGAACATACGCCCGCTCCTGCTTGCTTACTCCATACAGTCCCCCATACAATCAAGACACATCCAGGTCACTTGTAAAGTATTTAACAGAAAGATCAAAAGCAGGATGTTCTCCTAAATCCAGTGTTATTCCTACTATTTCTGAAGTATCAAGGTTCCACATGGAAGTGTGAAATAAGAATTGCATGGCTGCAGATTTCAAGGCAAATGTTCTTTAACACAGCTGCTAATACAGATACAGCAGATAGACTCTCACATCTATTATAAACGGTGGAGCCACCTCAGGAGCTTCATAATCATTCACAATCAATCAAGAGTAGGGTTGAGAACCCTCTTCAGAGTCACGGTAGCTCTTTTAGACCTTTCTAAACAGGAAAAATTACCTCTGTTGATCATTTGAGAAGCCCAGTCCCACGCAGATAAATGCTTCCCTAAGTCACAGCAAGGAACTATGTTTTTTCTGTTGTGATGAATTTGCTTTTTTTTTTTTCCTTCCCCCAGAAATATAAAATAAGAAGCATGTTACCCTACTTTAAACGGAACAGAGTTAATGAAGTGGTCCTAAAGAACAGCCTGCTCTCTAAATGGAAAACAACAATTAAGTCTCCTGGAAAAATCTTGCTATCCTTCCATCCAAAGGCATGGGTAATGTAATACCTAAGTATCTTAAAATAGGTACAACAGGGAAGAACCTCAAGAATTGCACATGCAATTCCATTTCACCAGTAAGGAAGCTCTAACAGAAAGCTCTCTGTTTCAGATGAGGCTCTCTCCCTCTGAGGAACCAAATTATTTCAGAAGATAACCCTACTCACTACCAAAGCTCTTAAGTTCACAGTACTCTGGTTTCTGAGTACCACAAGCGAGACGCTCAGTCAGAAGGCGGAGGGCCTCGGAATCAAAGTGGTTTTGATTACACAGGGAAAAATCATGAACAATCCTATACAGCTCAATTCCTAATTTTGTAGCTTCCCAATATTCTTCAAAATGCATCTCCTGGTTCTTCCCTCAAACACTCTGGCTCTGATAAACCTCACTGCAAAATATAATCATGGGAGATTCTCAGACTCTATGACGTCAAGGATAAGGGGTCACTACTCCCACACGTCTGAGTGCAAAACAGCCTGCCCATGCACCAGGCATTAGGGTCTGGCTGCTTGCCAGCACCAGCAGAAAAGAGACAAAAAGCAGACAAGTGTGTACAGATGCAAGAGCCTTAGTAACATGGAGTCTTTGGGCTGCCAGGGAAGGACAAAGCTGGTGCTGACAACAAGGCATCTGTGAGATTTAAAGCACATCAGGTAAGAGACATTCACAAATGGAATCTAACTGGACAAACCAGCAGACTTCATATAATCCACCATTAACTGGCCAAAATAAAACCAGCATTAAATGGCCAAGTTACAAAGAGGCCGATAAATGCTTAAATGTATTTGGCTCAGCTAGAGGACAGACACCACACAGATTAAATAAACACACATGAACTAGCAGGCTGACGGCAGGGGGAGGGCACCAACAAGAGCAGCAGAGGAAGCCAAAAAAATAAAAATTCCATCAACTAAGATAGCAGTCAACAATACCTCACTCGGGCTGACTGACGTACATGGTGCAGCTACCCTGCATCTGTGCAACAGCACCTGGACTGATTAGGACAGAACGTATCTAATGGAAACCAACAATGCAACAAAGTCTTGTATTTCACCTACATGCAGCATGAGCTGCCACAGTGCAATGTGCACATGGATATCCAAATGCATACTGAGCAATTTCCAGTTTAGCTCTGTGTAAAGCTCTCACCACTCTGAAAGCAGACAGTGAGCACCAGACTCACAAAGAGGCTCTCCCTTACCTCGCCATAGATTCTGAAAGTACCGGTGTCCTCCTCAAGTTCAATTGCAGTAACTCCTGGAACCTTCCTGGCTTGCTGTATGTTACTGCCGTGGGTTCCTATAGCAAGTCCCATTAAATCTTCTCTGACTACAAATTCCTCATGAAATGCTGCTGCAAGCTGCTTTGTGCACTGAAGGAAAAAAGAAAATAAGGCTCACGTGCATGTCTTCAACATGAAGTACCGCTTCCAGCAACAAGAATTTCAAGCTATTGCTTACTTCTAAGTGTTTTGTAGCTTCTTCATTTCTTGACATAAGCATAAGTTTGGTGCGAATGCTGCGCAAATGCATGTCACTCAGTATGTTCACTCTCTTCACTGTTGCTTCACTGGCAGACTGCAGAAAAGAAAAAGGACATTATGTTTCATTTTTTAGGGAAAGTCACATTTAAAGGATAAGTTAAGAACCTGCTTATTTAAATAAATTATAAACATGAACCGCATTTCCAGTACTTAGGTTGTCATTTTTCTTCCACAAAACAAACAATGAAAAATTCAGCACTATCTTTACCAAGCCAGCAATTTTCTGTTCTAACTCGCGTTATGCTTAACACCAGAAGTCTTGCTATCACCTATGAAGTAGTTCCCTCCCTTTGATGTTCCAAACCAAACTAAATATTATTCTACCATATTATACTCATTGACTCCCTAGTCTGATTCAAGTGGATGCGATTAAGTAAGCAGAAAATGCAGAGAAACTGTTAGGAAAAGTCTGTGTAGTAAAACAAAGCAATCTCAGAAGAATCTAAGTGAACAATTTCTTAATGGCTTCCTTTGGTAAAGAAATTTCACATTTGAAAAGGCCAACTAAGCTGCTTTTGCAAAAGCTCCTTTAGGCTACATAGTATCAAGCGTGGCCCCTCCCTATAATTCAGGCTCTGTGCTCCCTGATAATCCGCACTACCCACCTGCCAGTTCACACCCAGGCTACCGTGTGATGCGAGCTGATGCAGCTCTTCATGCGGAAACCCAGTTGTGGGTCAAAGCACAAAGTGTAATGCTGCACAAGTGGAACCTACTGCACTCGAGCAGAGTAAGCTAGCCAGCTCTGAACAATCCACACCAGTCTCTGAAACAGCTCTCAGCCTGTTATGATTGTCATCCTATCTGAGAGCTGTTCCTAAATTTAGGCTATCTGCAGTGCAGTACTTACAATCCCCTCCAAAGGCCTGCCCCCATAGATCTAGACATCTGCAAGTATTAAACTGCTCACAGCTTCCAGAGCTCGTGAAGTTAGACTGCAATCCACAGAAATGTAAGATGGCTACAGAGCTACCACAAATGATATAACCAAATTCATGCAACATTCACACAAAAATAGTTACTTACAAGTATTATTAGCTGAGCTGTTTCAGCATGATAGAAAATTCTACACGCTCCCACAGCTTTCTTGAAATCTTTGTGTGCATTTTCATTAGCGCATCTACAGAGATAAATGACTTATTTTAAGAAGTTGCATCAGAAAGAAGGGAAAATAATAGAATGACTCAGGTTGGAAGGGGCCTTGAAGATCATGCAGTTCCATTCCCTCAGCCATGGCAGTGATGCCACCCACTGGACCCAACCAGGCTGCCTGTGGCCTCACCCAGCCTGGCCTTTAACACCTCCAGGGATGGGGCACCTCCACAGCTCTGGGAGGCTCCAATCAGTGCCTCACTGCCCCCTGAGTAAAGAATTTCCTCCCAGCACCTAACCCTAATCTCCCATCTTTTAGTCTAAAAGCATTTCCCCTTGCCCATGTAATAACACAACCAGATCCCAGAATGTTTCACTACTCTATAGTGAAGAAAGTTCAGAAATTGGAAAATTCTCTTTCCATGCTTCCAGAGCTTATTTCTCCACGGGCTGTACCACCACAGCTATGAGGCACCTCTAAGAACCAGAGACATGCTGTGAGTTCATCAGCTGCATCAGCCTGCAGCAAGACCTGAAGATCCCACCTGATACCTGCTTTCTGTCCATAGCCCAAACCCTCAGCAGAGATCCCAGCCAGTAGATTCTAACTCAGCTACAGCAGTCACGGCCACCCTTATAATTCCTAATGAGACCCTCAAAAATACGCCCCCCACACTCTCAAATTCTTCTCATTAAATGAATTGCCTTATTAGTAAAATATGTGTAACTACTCACGCATCTCTCAGATCTTCAGGAACATCCACTGTGCACTTGAAAAACGTGTTCTTTTTGACGGTTTTATTTTGATTCACAGGTCGGAGCCTCTCGTAAGTCACGATTTCGTTGTAGGTGGCATCACAAGCAGCATACTCAATGACATAAAACTAGGGAAGAATGTTTGTCCAAATGGTAACTTCAGTCAGCAACGACAAATACATACTAACCAATCAAACAAAAACACAAACACACAGGCCAAGATCCCCCCCAGAACATCTGATTCCATCAAAAAAAAAAACCAAAAAAAAAACACCAGACTCAAGTACCAGGAAAGAGTACATTGCTGATGTAACAACGTGCTTTTCCACACACTGCTTCCCTATTTAAAGTTTTAAATTTGGCACACCTTTACAAAGTAACTGATTTGACAATGGTATAGAAGTAGCAGCCTTCTGAGGATGAAAAAAATATCTTTTATTCCTGTTAAAAATAATTAAGAATTCAGTAGAACTTCACACCTGTCATTACTTAACTGAGACCACACAGATTAAGAATGTTGTTTTTTTGTAATTTAGAAGTCAAAGTTTCTAACCAACCAATGTACCAAAGTACCAGACAGCAAAAATCCTGATTTCTGTGGCATACAAGAACTCGAGTTAGCTCCAAATGAAGAACACTATCATTTCAATCAGCTGAAATGAAAAATATACTTGTCTGAATCTACAATTTGTCTGAATCTGAATTTGCTGGTACAATCATAAAAGCTAACAGTAAAACACAAGCTCTGCATGTGCGAAAACCAACAACTAAACTTTTTCTACTACACTCAAGTGACATGTATGTACAAACAGAACCACCAACACACACTTGTAGATAGAGAGTGCTTGATTACCAGAATTAGAGTTGTGGTATAAACAGTAACCATAACCACAAATAAGGTGCACTACTTCATTACTTCTTAGAGCCAACTTCAATTCACTAAGTAGAATTTTTGGAAGCCATATGCTGCACACATGCATACAGACCTCCATGCTCTTCCATTACTAATAATCAGAATGCGCTGCTCAGCTACAAGCAACTGCTCAGCCCAGTTGCTGTAACACAGCACGGGTCATTCCAAAGGAATCTCAGCTCAAAAATCTGTTCTGCCATATTTGTGTGCTGGTAGTTGATTCATCTCTTTGCATCACAAAGAACTTCCGTATTTACTGTATTTAACAAAGCAGCATGAAAGCAGCAGGAAGGATTTACCTCTCCTTTCATCATTCGAACTTTTGCCAGCCACCAGCCACAAGGCTCTTGATCATTTGCTCTAGAATAAACCTGAAAACGAGAGCAGATTAACAAATGAAACAACTATATTTAAAGCACACACAGACATAACTGAGTTGCCTACATTCACAATCAGGAAAGAGCATCTCAACTTCTCTAGCTCTTGTTACAATGGAACAGTATACTGCTCAGAAATATTTTTTGCCTTTGTTATTATTGTTATGTGCTTCTTGCACAAGCTTCATTACTTTGCCCTGCAAGGATTACAGACAGATTTCCTTTCTATATTTCACTGACTATACAACAGAAATTGCTGGAGATAAAACCTTGAGAAAACACTTATTCAGTGGTAATTCCTCACTGAATTTAAAAACTGTCTTAACACCAAAGGTTCCTATACAGAAGGATCTCCAAAATTAAGGTTTCATTTTGCCTTTGGTTTACTTGCTAAACTTAGGACTACATCACATACGATTGTGTATTTTGTATTGAACAAACACCACTAACAATACAAGATCAAATACAGAACCAATGATACCTGAAGCTTTCTGTTTTTTCCTGGTCTTCTAACTATTTGTATGCAGACTAAACAAGAAATTTAAGTTAACTGAAGAAATCTGAGGTAAAAAATGCCTTAAATTAACCTCTGATAAAGCCAAAGTATTCCATATATTTCAAATAAAAACAGAAAAACTGAGCACATCTCTGTTGAACTTTCACATCAAAATATTTCCAGCAGTTTTCACGAGCACCGAGAATTAGCAAGTTAGGTTTTTATCTTGTAAAATACAGAGCTTTGTTTCAAATTTTAGATGATAATCAAGTTCCACTGGTAATTTTCTGAGGGAAAAAAAGAGACCCTGCAATTTCAGGCAGTTTCTCCGGAAGCAAAATCTGCTGTATTTTGAAGTGCTAAGAAAAAATTAAAACGTTTTTTATTTACCAGCTTAATAAATCCATTCCTAGAGACACAGTCCTTTTCCATTCTTCACTAATCTACTTACAGCCACCACCACCTCGAAGATACAACCAGTTATGTGACACAACAGCTCATTAGCAAACATCTGGATCAACTCACCTCCACTTCATCTCCTTCACCAATTTCTTTCTTGATATCAGGAGGTGGAGGTAATCTGACTTCATTAAAGGGTACTTGGCGCTCTGGCTGCCAACTGAAAGTTGAAGAGACATGACACATTAGTGCCAGGATTTTTCTCTTGTTTTCTTAAGGTCTTCATTTTTAGAACTCCGAGTTAACTCTCACTCATTTCATACAATCAGTTCTGTTTCTTCATTCCTAGAAAGCAAACTTAATAAGCGAAGTATTGAAACAACCCTGTCAAAACAAAAGACACAGCTGGGAAGATATTCAGTAACAGAACACATCTTCAGTAAACTTCAGAAGAAAGTTCAATGGACTGCCTCCACTGAACCGATTTTATTAACCCTCCATGAGAAGGTCAGATGACATACTGAAATCTGTACTGCTCAATGAAAGCCTTGTTAACATGTGAATTCATCCTTGTGGTCCACCTTGGGTTGGTCCATTTCTTCAGCATTTCAGCAATGACAATTTCATTGGCACACAGCATTATAATTGCTTCCTATCAATTTTTAAGCAGGAAAATCCAACTGTGTTTCCTAATAAAACTTTGGAATTTTATCTACAACTATTTGAAACAATCTCCAGTGGGAGCCTACGGAACAGATGCATTTCAAAACACATCTCTACATCTGCTTACTAATACTGATTACTACTATGCATGTTAAATTAATAAGCTACCTTCTTGTACAAGAAAGGCTATTTGTTTTTCTGTAGCTGGTTCTGCAAGGCTTCTTAATATATAATGCACATTTCAGGTGCATTACATGAAGACTCGTAGAGTAACTGACACCCTCTGTATTCTTCTATAATTCCCTTCTCTGTAAATCTCACAGGAAGCCATGAAGCTGTTTCTCATTCTTTTACTCAAAATGCCAACTGAAGATGGATTAAAATAAAGCCAGCACCACCACCAAAAATAACAATTAGAAAACCCTACAAGATCCAAGGGACTTGGACATGGTATTTGTCCAAGTATTCAACATCTATCATTCTGAACATCCTCAAGACCACATCAGGTACAGACAGACCAACACAACAGAAGGGGTCATGGAGTTTTGCCCTAGCCATGGCTACACGGTTCATTTTTCTTCCATCTACAGGGTAATTTTGAAAAACCACCACCAACAACACAAGGAACATTGTGGATAGCTTTTGTTGAAGCTGGAAAGTATTTTTGTCATGAAGTGTAGCTTAAATCTCATTTTACCTCTGAAAAACAGTAGAGGAGGTTGGAAAAAAAACCACTTGCGATTTAAACATGCTTGTAACTGTAATGGTCACTAACCTCAGGATCTGTGTATTGTCTCTTTCTTTCCTCCCTTCCTCAAGTTATCATTCTCACAGATACAAAGGCAAATAGGAAGAGTTGAGAACAAAATGCATTCCCTTGATTACAAGCTATGTAAAAGTTCAATTTGGAAATAGTTGGAACACAGTGATCATAACTGAACAAGATACAAACTGCTGTCAACAACTGAGCTGCTTAAAGCTCTCTTGAGAGTTTCAACTGTGCACTGCAGGTTATGAATCCAGCTCACAGGAAGTTACAGACTGCCCACAGTGAGATGCAACAGTAGAAGAGACCTCGCCACTCCAAGAAAATCTTTAAACTGCATGCAGTAGTCTATCCTTGCTTCCATCTCTGGAGGATCTTCATCTACTGTAAGGAGACAGTACAGTAATGACTCACCCATTTCAGGCATAAGGTATTTTGGTATTTTTTGAAAAAACAGGGAGAAATATGCACAGAAGGCTCAGTTCTGAGAATATGACTTGCAGTTCTGATGACATCAAGTCCAAAATGGGAGCATCTCACCGGCAAAATATCACCAACAGCTATTTAAGAAATTAGTTGTGTTTTGTTACAAATTACCTACTAAGAGGATCAGGCATGTGATCCTACTGGTCAGAATGATTATCAGAAATATTTGGTAAAAGCTATAAAAAAATTGAAGTATTTCTTACTATACAGAAGTCTTCTGATTATGGCTGCTTCAAATTCTAATGGACCTACAAAGAATTGCATCTAGAACCTCACCTGTACACCACAACAAAGGCTCCCAGCTCCAGACGACTTTGTGTTCATTCTCTGCCTCTTTACTTCTCCAAAACGCCTCCTAATGGACTTGCTATCTGCCCACAGATTAATTATTGCTGTGGCCACAAAAATCACCACTGGCAGTTGGTGCTAGTTCACCAACTTCGGGAACCTTGTAATAGCTATAGATTAGGACTGGTAAACAACAGCAAAAAACGTAAACTGAATGCCATTAACAGACTCACTTACTTTGCTAAGTGCTGCTCATTATCACAACAGAAGAATGCATTCCGGATGGTACCCTCCTGCCAATTTCAATTTGATTAAAGCCCTTATGAATTTAACTCAATAAAAAGCATAATAATTCATCGGTCTTGCATCATGGCATAAATAGAGTAGTACGCATACTTCCTGATAAGGTCTATTTTTGGTCAACAAAGCACTCAATATGTTGTAGCTCACCCTTTTCAGAACGAATCTGCTGCTGCCACACATTCAGTAAAACAGGTTGATGACACAGATATAAACCTGCAGAAGTGTGTTTGCCAATAATTAAACAGCTGCTGTGAACCACAGGCACTTCCTTTAGCTCACTTGGCTCGTGGTGTGAAAGCATGTGCCTTCAAGGCTAAGAACATCTACTCTTACAGAAAAGTAACATGGATGTTGAATGTGAAAATGAAGATCAACAAGAGGAGGATGAAGAAGCAGATCTGTGTGATTCTTTGGAGGAAGATGAGGACGGAGAAGGAGTGGGGTGATATGAAAACCAAAGAGACACGAAGAGCTTCCATAACCACCCAGGAAGTGCTAGCTATGGCTGCCACTTCTAACTGATTTTTATGGAAGGGCTAGAGAACAGGTTAGAAAGACAGACTGAATTTGCAGAGTAAAAAAAACAGGATTATCTTTTTCTCCCCAGGATTTTCTTCATGCATGCATTAGACATACATACATCCCAGGATTACATAAACCATTCACACAGCATTGTGTGTACATACATGCAAGCTTCCCACTATTAGGCTTCTTACTCCCTCATCTTCCTTCAGGAAAGGCTGACCGATGAACCTGCAGGCTGGTGCTGGCAGCTTAGAAACCATTTGCACATCAAAAGCTGATGCATTTCCCAATGTTGATTTTTTATGTGTATATTACATATATATATATATACTCACACACATATATATAGAGAGAGTGGTATGGTTAGGCTGTGGTTGGACTCAATGGATCTTTAAGGTCTTTTCCAACCTGAGCAATTCTACGCATTCTATTCCGCACTAGTTAAAAAAGTCACTCCATCAGGACATTTGTATCGTTTTTTCGGGTTGATGAAGCTGATTGCACTCCCAGGTCAGACATAGAAAGAACTGCTCAGGAAGAGCTACTCAGGTATTTTCCACCTTTCTTTGCTGCAGGTGTAAGAATATCAGGCAGCTGCCACTACTTTCTAATTACATCTGTCCACTGCGTCTGCAGGCATTACTAAAATATTAAAACAAAAAGCCAAGGAGTGCTAATTGACTGTGTGACTTCTGACCACAGCTATTTAAGGAATCAGTTCATGGAAATGGAATACAACACTGAGCCTGTATTTCTAGAACTACCTTTCTAATGAAGTCTACTTCCCCTTCATGTCAAAACAAACACAACAATGCACAAATGATTTTTAAGATAAAATACTTACTTGTTTTCAAACACAACAGTGAGTGAATCCTCATGAACATCTTTGATAAATCCCTAAAACAAAAACAATTTTGTTGTAAGACATGGAATCACAGCAAAGCAGCAGTTTCAGCACAGCCTGAAACCACCCGAGAACACCTCTGCTCTTATAATCCGAATGTAGGAAAGTTCCCAGACAATCCCACTGCATGGATGAGGCTGCTCTAAGAAATACGTTGCACGTGACTATTGAAAGCAACTTCTCATACAGACACATTTACAACTGAAATCCTGCCTTCAAAGTTTATTGTTCTCTTTACAGGCATACACAGCTACTTTACGCAAGCAAAATGAGAAAGCTGCAGTCCCAGGGCAAGGAGCCCAACTCAAAATACTGTCCAACAGCTGTGAGCAGCACCACTTGCTTTTTCAGGTGTTCTTCTCAAACAACCAAACAAAAAAAAGAGTCCCAAACAACTGTCCTTCAGAATAGCACAATCTGAAGGATGGATATCATTTGGCAATAAAGGCTGTTCTGTGGCTACTTAACTATGTCATCCGTCAAACACAGGAGTGGGAACAGTGTGCAGTCAAATCCCCACAGCACCTCACAGCAGAGCAAAGATAATAGGATGTTACACGTCATTTTGTGTGACATTTTTATGATCTTGGGAACAACTGCAGCAAAAGCCCATTTTTCTTCCCTTTGAAAAACGAAGGGCTTTTTAGCGGTGCACTGATTATGTCAAAAACCTGAAGACAAAGAACAACCTGATGGAAAAAATTATACCCAAGCAGAAATTAAGGCCTCCCATCTCATAGTTAAGAGAGGAAGGCAGACTGCAAACACAAAGGAACAAAAGAAAAGCGGAAGACAAAGACGACAAAAAATAACAAAGTAAGAAAATGTTTTTTCTAATGACTCCTGTGTTTGTTATAGCCTGGTATGCGCCCAAGAAAGAAGACCAAGAAGGAACATGCAGTTTCAGATGAGAAGACAGTTCCACAGGATCCTTACGAAAGGCTCCAGGAAACCTGCTGGATGGATTAAGTTGCCTTCACAAACTGCCAGCTGAGGAGGTCTAAGCACAGCATAAGCTGTGCGAGGAGTACAGCACCCCCAGAGGTGTCATGGGTCAGCTCAGCAAAAGGCACCTCACCATGGGCTCCCCGTGCCTGACAGATGCTGCACGAGCCTGCAGTGACAGCTGGCTGCAAGGGGCTGTAGGAATGAGTCTCCTTGGACTCAAACCTGTACTTGTGCAACGCCAGCAAAGGGCAGCATTCACTTGAAATCTGAGTACCCGCTCCCTAAGCAACGCTCACAAGACACCTGCCAGCAGTGCAAGGAAGTGGTTATAGCACAAACAGCTGGGTCAATCCTGAACACAGCAGGCCATCAGAAACCAAAGTCACCTTGTTCAACCACCTAGTGTGCTCCTAATGAAATAAACCCTTTTAGAGGCCACCCTGCCTCTGCCAGGGAAGGAAGGCAAAGCCCTTTGAGACGGAAGCAACAGAGGCAGTTGGCAGCAAAGCACGTGTGCACACAGGGATTTGCAGTTCCCCTGAAGTCTCTGTACAGGAAGACTGAAGCCACGCTTGCTTCATGAGGCAAGGAACATGAAGGGCATACAACATGTTACTGGTTGAACCATCTGTTAGCTAGCAACATCCGTAAATAACCAGAAAAGTTCTATTTTATTTACCAGCATGGGGATACGTTACTGCTACGTAAAATGCAGGAAATAATGTTTTCCTACAACTCGTTCAGATTGTCTAAAAAATATGTAAGAAAAATCACTTACCACATCAGCATGAACCAGGTTTACATGGTCCAACACTGCTGGAATGCCAACTTACTGGCAACAAGCAATACTTACTGGAGATTTAAACCCCTTTCCACGGGCAGCCTTTTATCTACGTTCTCACCATGTGAGTTTCTGGAGCTCCTTGGCACAAAGCAGCCCCTCAGCTCACTGCACTTGCGGTGCCACACAGGAGCAGCACGCCGTCCCACACCGGCGCACATAAACACTACAACTATCAGAGCAACACTCCCAGTTGGCACGCTCTGACTCTTCTACTCCACAGCACTCATAGGAGAAATACTTCAGAAGAGATAAGCTAACATTTATCAGGTATTCACTTCAGGTCACAAAGCACAAATAAAACATTAAATACAACCGTATCTAAATAATTATATTATTGTGAAAAGGTCTGACTAGAATCCAGTTGTACAAATACAAGATGAACAGTGAAGGAGTATCATGCTTTTCAGACTTCCCAAGGTTTAATTCTTCCTCTTATGGTCAGTTTCTCTTCTGCAGGGGAGGAACACACACAGCAACAGAAGTGCAGCAGTGGCAGGCAGGCAGACAGAACACCACCAGTAAGAATGAGAATTCATACAGGTTTTAAATCATTCTGTAAGGAATCACTTGGTCATTATCACCAAGCAACTTGTTAGAAATACAAAATTATTTGTGAAGAGTAACAAGTCCTCTCTGTTTTCCTACCTACAGCCCTGGCCTATCCTAGGAGCATTATCAGCCATCACCTGCAACTCCAAGATAAAACCAGAAAGATTTCACATACATTATGATGAGATTTACTGCAATTTTTTTTTAGAAGTATTCAGGGGCCTGGAGATGATTGTTAATTAAAAAAAAAAAAAAAAAAAAAAAAAAAACACTTCACAGTTCTGCTCAAAACTTGAGAAATTAAGATGTTTTGAATAAAGCAGATGTACTTTTTACATTAAACGTCCCATCAAATGCCACACATTTATAAGGGAATTATAAGAGATGGGATCTGATGAACATTGACTTTTCTTCTTTACCCAAATGGTTTTCAAACAGGAATTTCAAAGGAGCTCTTTGTCAGCGAGGTAACCTACGTATGTAGATTTGTATTCTAACTTAGCATGCCTCATGTCTCACACTGTTTAAGAACCACTTCTTGCTAGGCTCACTGATTACACGCCTTCACTTTTCTTCAACTAAACAGGCTGCTGTTAGTGGCATTTAATTCAGCAGCAATGGCTACAGATGGACAAAAGACAATATCTAATTCAGAGCTCCTCCATACAAGTGATGAGGCAGAGCAAGCCAACAGGAGACCACATACCACAACTAATATATCGGCATAAAAGCAGTAAAGTTGTTGCATGAGGAACCACCTCACATATAACATTTTCAAACGTGCTTTACACCACACATGAAGTTGCTGGTAAGAAGGAAAATTCATGCGACTTCACCTTGGCAGACCTCAGCTTTGGCTCATCCAGATCTTCATGTCAGTCACTCAGTGCCACATCCCTGGAAGTCCATGTATGTGCTGAGAGCTGCTCACAAGGCAGCAGGGACTCTACTGTACTACACTATTAATGGCATGCTGCTCACAGTGCTCCAGGCAGACCTGTCTCTGCCACTCACTGGGCAGGAACCAACTCCCAGCACCTGTAAGCTGAGAGCTGGCACGGCCAGGGCTTGCCAGCTGCGTTTGGGATCTGAGACCCAGCAAAGTTAACATGAGGCCATACTGTACACCAAGCATGAACAGAAGGGCAGGAAACTAAAAAAAGACCACCTGCCACCAAAACCACCGCAGCTGGGACCTCACAACAAGCAGCACACACTGCATCTTCCCCTTTTACCTGGGTTCTGCTCATGGATTTAGGATTAAGTTCTGCTTATGACATAAACGGATCAAGACTTACTGAAGTGCCCTTACAGTGAACTGTGCTTGTGTGGACACACACACACACACACACACACACACACACACACACACACACACACACCCGTATTTGCCTTTTACATCCAGTTCCACACCAAGTCACAAAATCCATCTAACAGCCAGATGCAATCTGAGATCCATCTTCAGCCCACTTTCAGACTAGCTGACCCCAAGCACAACAGTCCAACCTAAAGGCAAGGTGCTGCCAGTGAGGCTGCAGGCATCCCTTCCTGGGGCAGGCGGACAACGTGCTGCTTCTGAGCCACATCCACCACACCAAGAGCTGCGCTGGGAGCCTGGGTGCTGCTGAGCACATCTCCAACAGTAACACTGCCATCAAGTACTGCGGCTTCTCCTGAATCACCAACATAAAGGTCAAGAAGCCTATATCTAATTACCAGTCCTTTCACTCCTGTCAGAACCAAACACTGTTAGTATTTTAAACCAACAGTTATACACCTCTGTCTCATGTAACAAATACAAAACCTCCCACTTAATTATTACTATTCCATTCTGACCCCCATAAAGAAATACCAAAGCAAACACAGGAAGCTTGTAAACAATCAAGATGCTGCCTTTCTGGTTTGAACTTCGAAGTGCTCTTTTCACTGCAAATGCTACAGGGCCTGCTAACAGACAGCAGTCCACGCATTACAAGCAGGCAGCAGGTAGGAAATAATGCTCAACTCCTATTTCAATTCTAACCACCACACTTTTATTTATGACATTACTACTTATCTTCATTCACAGTCATCATTATCATGTGTAAATTCAAGAGTCCTCATGAGTCACACAAGAACCTCAGCACTGAATCTCCTGGCTTAGGCTTATGAATGAAGTCTAAATGACTCACGTTATTTATGCTGCTTTCTTCATGTGCATATTCCCAAAGGGCAAAACTTCTTAGAGATGCCCTCCACTCACTGTGTACATGAGAAATCAATAATCACCGCCTGCAGCGTCTGCCTTTTATCAGCCTAAGAGTCAAGACAAAGACTCTTCAATGGCAATGACTAGAGACAGTTCATGCACCAGTCTACACAAGTTCCAAGAACAGTAACATCTTAAAAATGCATTAAATTTCCCATCCAGTAAGGCAAGATTTAGTAAGTAAACGCTGTCCATCAAGAGACAGCTGAAACCTTTACAAAAATAAAAACACCCCTCATTGCACTTACTGTAATGCTTCCTGGTGTAATAATTGGGCACCAACACCCACCCATGTAAGCCTCTTAATGACAGTTTTCTATTTTACTGTCAAGCTAAAAAACAAACAGAACATCTCATGGAGAAGTTTCCAAAGCTTCTCATTACAACTTCAAAACACCATTATATTTTTATTGATATATAAGTATGTTCTTGCACAGAACTGCTCACTGTGCTTTGACATCATACATAAGGAGAAATACCACGCCTTCCTCCATCATTTCTTCCTGCACAACAGTTAGGCTGCTCTCTATATGAAAGCCCAGCTCAGCTCCTGCTCCCAGAGCTGCAGCCAGGACTGTTACCAAAACCACACCTCCTACCACAGGCACCAAGGTGCGTTAGAACCTGACCACTGAAGGTGAAGAGTCAAAGCCTATCTCCCATTTTTGTCATTTTTATTTCAATGCAGCTACTCCTGAAGAAGGGGAAAACTGCTAGGGCAAACCACACACAGGAGTTCGTTCTTTATTAGATGGAAATCTCTACAGCAATGAATCTTCAGTTATTCAGATGTCACCAAAAGGCTCCACGTGCGATAAGCTACCTATGGCTCAGCTTATGGGCTTTGGTGTCATTTTATTTCGAGCAGACATCCAAACTCACAACAAGAAGTGGAACCATGGCTCTCATTTGCATACAGACAAAATTTTCATTTCGTTCTTGCCTACGTACACTTCACAGCCAACAGAACACAGGGCAATGGGTACACAGCAGAACAGAGGAGGTTGCCCTGAGTATCAGGAAACACTTCTTTTCCTCTGTGGGTGATGGAGCACTGACACAGGCTGCCCAAGGCAATGAAATATCCTCAGTGGAGATCTCTAAAAGCTGCTGGGATGTGGTGCAGAGCACTGTGCTCTGGGCAGCTCTGCTTGGGCAGGGGTTGGACCCGACAGACCTGGATGTCCCTGCCAACCAGTCCCTAATTCTGGGAGCCAATGATCTACATCTCTGTATGACAGAATGACCAAAGTTCCAAGCTCCACACAGAAAACCATCAGCCTGAGAACTCTGCAAACAGAACTGGGAGCATTCAAGTCTCACTCTCTTCAACCCAGCTTGAGCCCAAAGAAATCCATGCACATTTGGTCATTTTAAACTGAAATAAATAAATAAAATCCAATAAACTAATGAAGTCTGTTCTAACACCTTGAAGAAAATAAAACAACCTGCAATCTAGAACTCAAGTAGACACCATCAGCCTTCCTGAGGTCAGGATCAACATGCCCTCAGCAGATACAACTGTTAACTAGCTTGGTTTATCACCCCATTCTCCAACTTCTTCAACTGTTCCACCACACAAACCTCACCTTTACCACAAGAGCACAACTCCTTTAGAGAAAAGATGGCACTGATGGCACTCACAGACAACAGATGAGTAATGCTGACAGATGCAGTCTTCTGAGCTGCAGGGATTGGCCGAACATACTCTGCTGTCTACTTGGGGATAACCTTGGGGGTAAAATGCAAAACAAATGCCATTCTTTCTCCAGATCACATTACTGATTTAAAGCAAAGGGGGAAAACAGTTTGCAGATACATGAACAAAAGGTTAAATTCAGAACATACTATATCTTTTTAGACAGAAGAATTTGGTAGGCACTTGATGCCTACCACAACCACAGTTACTTTTCACTGATATATGCATCAAGAAAAACATTTTTATTTTTTGTGTATTTTAATAAGGAACATGGTAATAAGGAACATGGTTTTTCGTATTAGTTTATAGCAATCCCAGTCTTACCTACCACGGTCATACCTCTAGTAACTACTAGAAAAGCATTAAGACACTCCAAAAGATGCAATCACTACTGTTACTATAGCTAAGTTGCAGATCGTATTAACAACTAATTAGAAAACTGTCACGTGATTGTTTACGTAATTATTTTGGTCTTTATCTCTCCTGGCATAGCAGGATCCTTCTCACGTCATCTACCAGGAGGTATGCAGTGATAATGAATCTAAATTCAGACTGTTCTGAGCGCAAACTTCAAACGTTCTCCCCTCATATAACCTCACAAATGCCAACATGAATCCTAAGTGATCCTTAGTTCCTAAGAACAAGGATCCTAAGTTCCCAAATGAGGCCGACAACCCCTTCTCCTTCGCTTCCCAAACTTTACACAGCAGCAGCATTACTTAGTTCCACAACACAGGCAGAACCTTTCTGCCTCAACTCTAAGACTCACAAAATGGAACCAGATACACAGATTTCACTTCAAAAAAAAAAAACGCATTTTAAAATCATTTTCCTGCTTGGTTTATTGTGTTTTGGGGTGGGTTTCACAACAACAGTGACTGTTTAGAGCTGGGGCTTTCCCCACTCCAGGCCCAAGCACTCTAACCCTTCAGTTTCCCAAGAAGTGAATGGTTTTCATGCTGGACCTAATCCCCATTTTGCTGACCTGAAAGCCAATAATGACATTTTTAAGTAAAACTTCTGCTCGTTAGCCACCATCCAGAGGGCTGAACACATGATGGGGCTAATCCAAGCCTGACAATTCGCACTGACTTAGGAAACGTCATTATTGCAGAATTTAAATCAGGCTTATTGCAATAAATGCTGTACACACAGCTCCAAGAATTCAGCACACCTCCTAATGCTCCCATTAGTCCCACATTCCCCTGAGGCAGAAAAAAGAACCAGCTCACGCTTCGTTCTTTGCCCAAGATCCCAGGGCACAGATGGAAAGCTAAGAAGGGTGTCTCCAAATTCCATGTTTCCTAACAGGCAGGAAAAATAATCAATCCTGTTTTAGGCCAGCTATGTTCAAAATACACATTATTTTGATGTGGATTTCCACATGGTAATTTTTAATCTACCTAAAAATTTATCTCATATGCAAAGTTTATTACCTACGGATTTTGGCAAAAACAATGAAGAGGAACACCTACCAAGGGCACAGAGCTTATCCCATTATATTCCTTCCTCGTAAGATTATCTCCTATCTGTCTCTTTTAATAGACAGCCAGTTGCAAAAAGAAAAAAACAAGAACAAAAAACAAAAAACCACCCAAACCCCGACTCCTGCAGTCAGCTGCTCACAATCCCCTGCCCGCCGCCTCCACATGCCGTACGGCTCCCAACGGCTCCCAGCCCAGATCCACAGACGCGAGCAGGAAAATGGGAGGCATGGCGGGCCGCCCCCCGGCCCCACGCGCAGTCCCGCCCCGCACGGCTGCGGAGCACAGCGCTGCGGGAATGAGGCAGCGGCTCTGGCCATAAAAAGAGCGGAGCGTTAACGGCTGCCCCGGGCTGAGGGCAATGAGTGACGGGCACAGCTGAGGCCACGGCGCACGGATCCCGTACCGTCCCGGCATTCCGGGGAGGCTGATGGCGAAGGAAGCTTTCTGACGACATAAATAAACCCGAAATCGTTACGGAATTACTCCAAATATTTAAAAAGCCATTACTTCTATCTCCGATGCACTCCGTTCAGCCCTAACCTCCCCCCCCCCCCCACTCTCCCCACGCCTCCCAACCCCCGCACCACAGACCCCCCCTCGCTGCGGCCCCCCCCTCCCCGCGGTGCCTTTCCTTTCCCTCAGCAGATCCCCTCATCGCGGCCCCGCCGCGCCGCACCGCCACACCCCGGCACCGCCGCCCCGCGCCCCCCCCTCACAGCCCGGCTCGGAGGCTCCGCTCACGACCGCCCGCCCCTCCCGGCTCCCAGCGCGGCACTCAAAGCCCCGCACGGCTCCGGCCCCGCACCGCGCCCGTACCTTGTAGAAGGCCCCATTGGAGCCGCGCACTTCCACCGTCAGCTCCTCCATGTTGCGAGCGCAAAGGACGGCGGGACGTGCTTCTAGAAACTGTCACCACGGGGGGGAGCGCTGCCCGGGCTCCCCTCCCCCTCCGCCCGCCCCCCGGGGCCGCTCCCGCCCCACGCGGCGCTGCCGCTCCGCCCAAGCCGCGGCCGGGGGTGCCGGGAGCCGCCGGAGCGGGGCGTTTCCCGCGGGAAGGGCTGGCGGCGGCCGCTTTCCCCCCCCGCGCGCGGCCAGGGGATGGGAGCGGCCGGGCGCCGCGCTGAGGGGCCGGGCTCTCCCGCCTTCCCGGCTTGCAGGTGGCCCCGCCGCCCCGCCCCGGAGCCGCCGCGATGCGCAAATGGCGGAAGCGGCGGCTGTAGCCGCAGTCGGCGCTGCGGAGAAAATGCGGCGTTTTGCGCGGTGTACTTTTTGAAAGCGGTACCGGTGCCGAAGGCCGAGCCGCAATGCCGCCCGCCGCCCTTGCACCGATGCCCGCCGCCTTTGTGCGTCCTGGGCACGGAGGCTGGGGGGGGGGGGCGGCCGCAGGCCGCGCCCTCCTCCGCGCTGTGGGAAAAGCACAATAAAACACGTGTAAAGATACGCATCTGAACGCCCGCTTGTGCCGTTCGCTGTCCCTCACCGCAGGATCGGCCCCAAACTGTGCCATGAGCTCAGCGCTGTGCGTTAGCTTAGTCATGCAGGGTTGGATAGCAGGCTCTTGCCTGCCAAATGCATCTTTTTGCAGTGGTTTTAAATATCGATAATGACACCTTCAGTCCGCTTGGCTTGGGTGTCCCAGCTGACTCCATCGTGAGCAGCCATTTACCACCGTGTGCCCTGGGAGTGGCTTGGGCTGGGGAGACATAGAGATCGGTGCAGCCAGGGCGTGGGCTGCGCAGGCAGCACAGAGCTATGGGATGAAGCGTGAAGGGAAATGGTAGAGAAATTATTGGGGGATAAAAACAACAAATAAACAGACTTCCAGAGGACACTGCACTTTCTCCACTCTGGCTCATACCTTTGTTTGGGTATGAGGTAATGCAGAGAAAAAAAGCAGTTCTATCGTCTAGTCTTTTCCCTCTCTGTGTGCCCAAATATTCTCACTCTTGTATCATAATTATTCCACAGGAATGTCGAAGGATCATTTGATTGTAAATACTTCTTAAACCTTTAGAAATGCCCTACGGTTTGTTCCGTCACTTGTGTCCAGGCCATGTGTAAGAGAGAAGAGAAAGCTTCACACAAAAAAGTAAATGCTCTTCTTTCCTGCTGGTAGATGGCCCTTCGGCCTTTCCAGGAGAAACTCTGGGAGCCAATAGTAGGAAGCAAACAGTTGTGCTGCAAAAATTCTTTGGCCAAAGTTGTCATTGCCCCAAGACTGAATAGCCTGGGATTGGTTTATTCACCTTCCAAGGGATGCTCTCTTAATGTTAGATGTTAAAAAAGTCACGGCCTTGGGTTTCCTTTTTTTAAAAAAAAGGCAAAAATAAATGGAAAAGAATATATATATATATATCCATCAGCTGCTGTTCTCAGGAGTCAAAACAGGACACACATGAAAAAAAACCAATAGCACAATTTCAGAACTGCGTGAGGTGGTTGGGTCTCCATATTTGCAGTGCACAGTACGGTTCTGGTCATTAATGATAACGAGAGCTGGCTTGAGCCAAAGCAATCTGCATCCAAATTTGCCTGATAAAGTTTGTTTTTCTGAAAGTATGCACATGTTGCTACGTAGTAGCAGTTAAGGGGGCAGGGTTGTTTACAGATTGACAAGCTTACGCTGAAGCAGATTGCTGTGCCTATTGTGAAAACGGTGGTAGAAAAGAGTTGTTTCTAGGCTGAGGGCCATGATGGTTTGGGAATGAGACAGTGAAGTTCCGAGCCTAAGTTTTCACTTAATGTAAATTAGAAGTAACTACTAAATTAAATTAGTTATTTACTGAAATATTAAAAGGGAGAATATTAAAAGGGAGAAGCTTTTATCTACTCAGGTACAACAACTCAGAGTCCTCTGATATTAGCAACTTAGAACCTTTTCCAAAAGACTTCAGATTTGTGTCACTAGCAATTTTAAAACAAAGATTGGCTATGCTAAAGTACGACAGAAATAAATTCATGGACATCCCACTGTCTGTGAAACTGAAGGTCAGAACAGAGTTGTCATTCTCAGACCCTTGCGACATGAGAATGTTACACATTAATTTTAGCCAAAAGTAGGAAAACTGTTGCCATTTTCAATGTTTCAGGCAAGATTGAGACAACTATGGAATCAGCAATGTAATTCTTCAGTACAGTGATCTTACAAACTAAGATTATATTTGGGTATGCAAAGATACACAAATTGATAGCCCTCTGAAGCTGTTAGTAGGCTGATAATTTAATTTTGCCTTTTTTTTTTTCCAGTTGTTTCAACTAAAGAGTTATTTCTATGCAAATTAATTTTAGTGTCTTTGTTGTTACCCAAGCAAGGAGTATTGCTGTGTCTTACTGGACATATTCCTTGTCCTTCAGTAAAATAAAACCCCTGAAACATATGTTCTTAGAAGATATTGTGATTTTTAAAAAGGACAAAAATAAAGGTCAAATACATTCACACTTTCACCTTCATTTACAAACCCAGAGTGTAGTAATCTGGGTTTTACATTCTATTCAATGAGGCAAAAATGCTGACGCTTAGCAGCTTGTATTACAAAAACATAAAATAATCGTAAAAAAATCTAGGTTCACCTTTAAGCGGGTAAAAAACAAATTCTGAAATTTTGGCAGAAGGCTGATAACTATGAGAGAGGCATCCATTCACACTTCCAGACTTAGCAGGAGCTCAGGAACTGGCAGCACTCAGATCCTCTGTAAACAGCCATGCATCCCTCATCCCCATTGGAGACAGGCAACACAGACGAGTACTTGAAAGATATTATGAGTTCTTACTGGCCTCTTATATTTTACCAAATGATAAAACTACAGCTCAGCAGTAGTCTCGGAAGTTCTTTTGAAAAGTAATATGCTTCCAAGTGTGTGGGGTTTACTTGTTTACATGCTTATTTTCTTTGTTCCTCAAAATGAGGTAAGTATTGGAGACATGTAAATTCAGCTCCACTAGAACTGTGTAATTAAATCAGGGCATACTAATCTTTTCATTGCCCAAACCTCATATTAAGGCACACGGTCTCAACTAGATTGTCTTCTTGGGCTGCAGCTATATAAAGGGCCAGTGGTTTGTTATATTAAAAAAAAAAAGGAAAGAAAACTCCAAAAGGAAAGGTTTGGGTTTGTTGTTGTTTGTTTGTTTTGTCCTTTGCTGTAATTTTTGCACTATTCGAATACTGAGATAAACAGGAATCTCTTCCAATTTTCAGCAGCCTTTTACAGATGCATTCCTGACCTTTACAAATGAATGAATAGTTGTCTGGAGGTTAGCTGAACTGCATGTGCCATGCCCAGATACATCTGCAAGTGCTGTAAGCAGACACCGCTTCTGAAAATAGGATCCACAAAAGGTGTTGCTAAGTGAGTGTATGTAAAAACATTTTCATGTAGTGCAGTTTTAAACCCTCTGATATAGAAATCAGAGAAAGGAGAAATAGTAAGTGTTCCTATTATTGTAAATAAGCATTCATACTTATCTTGAAAGGAAGAGCCTTTGGAGCTGGTTTGTATGTATTGCAGCTTACAGCATTCACATTTATCTTTCTTTGTCTAGACACGGTGACCTTAAAATGTTCCACAGATTTAGGGTTAAAAATTCCTTCTGTTTAGTGGGATAAAACATGTAAATAATTCACAGAATGCAGCAGGCATTTACGGTTACACTCTGCCTCCTGTTACTGCACTGTCACCAAAGTAATTAAATTACATAGGGAAGACATCAAGAATCCATGCTGAAAAAAAATCATTTTTGACTACACTTTGTATTTATGCTGAAGTAATGATGAGTGAATATGACTCAGGTTTCATTTCTTCAAAATCCACAAGATATGCATGCTCAGCAAAATCAATATATACATCTAGGCAACAAACCACTATGTGAAAATAAATTTACACTGAATTACAACCTGTGAACGTTGTTTGTTTTTTTTTTCTTTTCACACTGGATGAACTTCTGGCTTACCAGTGCTTGGCTGGTATTCCTATTTTTGTCAGTAGCAGCATAGGAAAGTAAGCAAAGTACAACTTTAAGTTTGATGTCATTCTAAAAGCAAAGAGAAACAGTAGACAACACCTGCTGTTGTGCACAATGTTCATTCTGGCACAATGCAAAGAAAATGCAGAATCACTTCACTGAAATTTTAATGAACTCAAATGAGAACACTGCTGCTTAATGGACTTTATGCAATGGTCTGAAGCTCCTCCATTCACAGAACAACTTTTCATGGGGTTGGCTTGGTTTGCTAATCCCATTATCACTTTGATTCTATTTCTTTCAAATGCTAGTATGAATGCAGCTGGTCAAAAATAGCCTAGCTTGTACTTGACTTTGTTCCAAGCCATGAAGTGAAGTGCACTGTGCCACCAGAGATGTATCTCCATATGTGTGTGAGGTCATGGTTAAGTAATGGTGTGTCATACACAGTATGAGCTTTGGGTATCTAAGCCTGGAAGTTCTGATCTCCAAGTATTAATGTTTTATCCTTCCTATCACTGTAGATACGCACATGCGAACAAATGAATCATTGTTGTCTTCTGAATACTTTCAAAAGAAACCAGGAAAGGAAAATACTATTTTCACTTTACTTCTGGTAGTTTTGTTCTTTTGTTTCTTTTGTTCTTCTCAGGCACATATCCTAGGCTGCCTTTGTTTTTACTTGACAAGACCCACTGCCCTAAGAGCAAAGATAATCATTAAGAACATAGAAACTTTCACATCAGGATCTCAACAATTGTTTTCCAAAATAGGATTGTATTCAACTCGCTCAGAGGAACTTTTAGTCAACTATTATTTTAGTTGGTAGGCACGGACCTTAAGAAATTAGATACCAATACTTAGAACAAGCATGCACATATGTATACTTTGTTGTTTGCAAGACACAGCTAGTAACTGATACCATATAAATGTGCATGACCTGAAACCCTGCTGTACTGC